CCCCACTCCCCCCTTACAAGGGAAGATTTTCCGGTGATACAGTCAGATTTCAATGTGGCTTTAAAGTGTAGTTGTTTTCATCCCTACGTAAGGTATTTGGTTTTACCTGGCCGTAGGGAGTTTGAAGGTCGTTTTACGCGAATTTAATTGTACATTCGCCAAATTTATAGCCCGATTATCAACTTTGCATGCACATATCTCAAGAACTGTTTCAGCTACAGCTCCCAGATTTTGAGTGAAATCATAATTTAGCTCGTTCTTTACTTAAAGAAAATTTGAACGAAATCGATTTGGGTCGCAAAAACGGGTCCCGAGAGGTCCTAGATCCATTTTGGTGTCCGCCATTGATTTGGTTCAAATAACTTTCATTAAAAGTACTAACTGACAGGTAATTACCTGCAAAATCTGGGCGCTGTGCATTATGAGGTATCATTTGGGGTATTTTGGGGCATATTATCATGATGAAGTATTCTAGAAGTATTATGGGACCCGCGAACAGAGTATTATGTTAGTTATTGGCGAACCGTCGGTGTGATCTTAGGTGTATTCAGCCGGAGATAAGTCCAGGTGTAGCTTCACAAAGGAATATCGACGCGTCCTAACAACAATGTTCTATCTGCAGCGTGCGGAATACACAATTCTCTATCTGCAAAACGCGGGTTTCGAGGACACCTCCAATGAAATGCTTATTACTCCGTAACCGCTCGTTCTACTTCACTTTTTGCAGTCAATAATTAAACCTTGGACCTTTACGATTCTTTCCGTGTGCGCAGATTGGCTTCAATGTCTTCCAGTTACATGCAAACCACACAAAGGTGAAGGGCTGCGCCCAACCCCGTTTTGCAGAAAGAACATTGTGTATCTGCCTGGTTGACCATACGTTGTATGATGACAAATTTAAAATATTCAAAATGAAAGTGCCGCAGAGCAAAGTTGCTCTGTACAACATGGGTAAGTTCTCACATAACCCCATGCGTCACGTGTTGATTTTGATTGCTATGTTTTTGTATTTGGTTAACATTCCAAACCATTGTACTCAGATCATATAGCAACATACAGGCTGCTGCAGTCGGTGAACATGATTGAGGACATTGATGACGACCTGTGGGCGTGTTTCTCCAGCAGGAAGTCGATGATATTATGGACAAGCTAGACGCCGTAGCCCTTGTTCTAGGGCAAATGGGATTTATGTCGGATGCCGGAAATAAGAATGTTGGATACCGGAAGTCGGATGTCGGATATAGGAATGTTGGATATCGGAGTGTCGGATGTCGGATATAGGTGTGTCCGAGCGAATAGTTTGCAAAAACCTAAATTAGGAAGAGTAGCGACAAACAGTCATATTAATTAAACTTTCAATGTATTTTTAAATAAACGAATTTCAGACAGGGTAATAAAAATGATCATAAGTGTAGTGAAACATGATTATGATAGTTTCAGGTTACACATTAGCAAACTTATACACTATATAAATCTAATTATCATAAACAAAACAAAAGAAGAAATAACAAGTTAACGAAATATTATTAGGAACTTTCGCTTCCAACAAGG